TTCATGCCAACAAAAAAGGACAAGCTTCCCACTTTGCGAACATTTGATTAACATTTTAGTTTTCTTTTAGTAATGGATTTGTTACCAGATTCATTAGTAATAGAAGAAAATCCATCTTTCTGTGTGTGTTTGGAACATGTTCCTAACAGACTTTTTCAGTGGCGCTGTTCAGAAATACGTAATAGAGGCATAGACTGGTGCGTGAAATAATTTCTCTTTAGGTAGAGATTTGTAGCTCCCAGAAGAATAAAATAATCTATATGAGTTTTCTAAGTTTCTTCAAAAATCTGAGTATCTATACAAGGAAAAGATCATTCTTTAATTTAACCTCCAAAAAGTATTCTCTGCAGACAGTAGGAAAGTGGATATTAATTTTTAATCTGCCAATTGAGCAGTAATCTTGTCTAGCAAGTCCTTGGTTATTTTTAAAACAGAATTTGAAGGTGGTTTGTATAAATCTCTTGAGATCGTACCCTTAACCAGAATAGGTTCCTTTGAAAGCAAAACCTGCTGTCTGTAATGCACATTCCTGATGAATAGCAAGAAGAGGACAGGTTTCTCATTTCTACCCACAACCAATAAATATTGCAATTTGCTAGTTATTTGTTTCTCTTGCTTATTCCTCAGGACTCTTATTTTCTGTTTGCTAAGCATCTGCCCTTCTAACACTCTGTCTTTATAAAAACCTGATTTCCTAGTGACTGCAGAGGAGCAGAGCCCATGAACATACTCGAAAGTCAGTAAAAGCATCTAAATTAGAGTGTACCTACAAAAGCAATTTAATTTAGATATGTCCTGCTTCTTGGCATTTTGGCTCTGTTGCAGCAAAGTCCAAGTTCATCTTTTTGTAGAATTAGCAAGCTGTACATGCAACAGCATCTTGCTGGCTGTTTTATCTGTTGCATCCCATAATAAACATGTTCGAGACTGGTATTCAATGGACGTCTATGAATGATTTTGCCTTCGAAAGCAAAGTCTGGCATTAATAGTCAGTCAAAAGCCCATCACTAAACCCATTTGTTTTCTGGTGGACAGACTGCAAGATATTTATATGATATGCCATCAAGTTCCAAGCATTTACTTTGGCAAAGTGCTATTAGGTATGGAAATTTCAGCTATAGAAATCTACCCCTCACCTTTTTTTTGCAATTATGCATGCCTGCTTGTTATTTTCACTCTACCTGAACTTAAGATGCTTCTGTTATGGGTTCTTTAAGGTTTGGGTTGGTTTTTTTGCAAGTGTTTTCACTTGCTTTCTATTATCATTAGTGCTGATGTTCCAGTCAGTGTCTGAAACTTCCCTCTCCTCTTAAAGACAAGTTTCTGGCTTTTTTTTTTTTTTTCTTTTTAATGAAAGCCTATCTATACCTGCAGCTATTCTTCAGCATTTCCACCTTTTACTATGCAAATACCAGGTGGCATAACTGTAGAGATAATATTGTTTTTCAGATCAGGGCTTCACATTGCTTGTACTTCCTGAGCTAAAGCAGCATCCTTTGGTAAATTTTCAGCTGGTGGAGGCATCTGTCTTCTCCTGTCTCTCAAAAGCTTCCTAGTGCACAACTGCTCCCAGTAGTATAGGTGTTGTTTCTATAGTATGTCATGCTACCAGTTCTGACAGTAACAGAAATCTCCATGTTGTTTTAAGATCTCTTGGCATATTTCCTTACAAAACTTAATATTGTATACAAGAGCTGTGGGGTTTCTCACTTGCACGTAATGTGCAGTTATCTGCTATCATGGTATCACTTTGTGGTAGAGGAGAGTAATGAGCTGTGTGTGAGAGTAATGTTCAGGGTTCATCTGGAAACAATCAGTTGACTAGTTAGTGTAATAAAGTCGAAAGATTTTCAGGGAGTTACGACACGATATTCTTTGTACACTGCTTGGGGGAGGTGGAGGGGCCGGGACAAACATATGTTTATGAAAGTAGCTTAGTCTCATCAAAATATGATTTCCTATCTCAGAACCTTAGATGATGCAGTCAACTGTGCCTTAGTCTCTTGTGTTTGACAGAGTTTCTGGTCTCAGTAGTGTTTTCTTAAGTTACTTCTGCATTAATTCATGAATCTGGTGGAATTGATTCCTTTACAGTTTCTCTCATGCTGAAATTTTATCTTAGAATAAATTTTATCTTCTGATCTTATGGATATAGGAACATCTTTTGTTGTGATGTATTCTGTTTTAGCCCTTTGTGATTTCTGTAATTTTCTTGGGTTTCCTCAGAACTAAATAGTCTGTAACAAAATCTGTACCTTCCCCCAAGAAGCATAGCAGATTTGGATAGTGAAATACTCCACAATTAACATTCTGCTGTGAGGAAACAAGTTGTTCTTCTTTTGGCATTAGCTAGTTTTGATCTATAGCGGCATTGCCTACACTTTGAGATTTTTACAAAGCTAAAATGTCAATGGTCATTTGATTCTCCTTCATGAAATATTTAATCGATGCATCTGTTTACGTGTAGATGTGGCGCTTGGGGACATGGTTTAGTGGTGAATTTGGCAGTGCTAGGTTTACAGTTGAACTTGATGATCTTAAATGTGTTTTCCAAACTACAGGAATATATGAGTTCATATATTTGAATTCAAAGCCCAGTCCCCCTTACGTGGAAGCAAGTTGGTTGGATCTGCCATGTCATCGTCACCTTGTTCCTTAGACATTCATTTGTTATCAAACTCACATAGAGCTCACTGTCAGCAGTTCTTTAGTTTCATCCTCTAGTATAGCTTCTGAAGCTATACATCTGTGTTTTGCCAGGTAGAGTTTTTAGGTTTTAAAGGTGGACTGGCAAGCTGTGAGTTAAAGCAGGACACTTCATGGAGGCCTTGATTGCCCCGTTCTGACTGGAGAAAGCCTTCAATCTATCCTGACTGCATAAAACCTTTAGTAGTCCAGTCTGGTCCTATCACTGATCCCGCTTTGAGCAGGAGGTTGAAGTAGAGACATCCTGAGGTCCCTTCCTGCGTGAATGATGCTTTGGTTCTCGATTCTATCATCTTAAGTTAATGAACTATTTTATATAAAAATTTGTAGGTTGATTCTGGATAAAATAAGAGGTCTCAGAGGCAATTCTATATGGCCTGTGATCAGGCTTTTATTGTGTTTGTCATGCTGTAGTTATCTTACCTGTCAAGAGATGATCACTTTACCTGAGTCACCTTGAGGTTCTAATAGCTATTAATTGGTCAATTTGATAAGTGCTTTGTAAACACTAAGGAATTCGTGAATGCTAACGATACAGCTTTTCTCTCTTTTAGTATAATATTTGCATCCTCTTTTTCTTAATTACAGGTTGATGACACTAAAAGAAACTGCATTATTGCCTAATCAGGTGTCAAAATCTTAGTGCAAATACCAAAAGCCAGGTGTGAGCTGACTTTGAAGGACAAGCAGTTGGAGCGGGATCTCTGGCATCTTGAGAGGGACATAACAGGGTTGATGTTAGTTTAAGACAGGAGCGCTTCCCAGCTTCTGGGCCTGGGCAAATACCTTTGCTGTGGTTCAAATTTATTGTCTGGGAAGGAGTTAATCGAGCCATGGGAAATTTGGAGGGAGTTTATGTTCAAAGGAATTACAGCCATGTAGGTTTGACAGGGATCTCTTGATGGTCCTAGCGAGGCAGAGACTTTGTTTTGCATGTCTCAGCAGGCAGTTTAGATGTAGTTTGAAAGATTTGGGATTACTGGATATGACTTCCACTAAATCCTGAACTCAGTAAGAGAAGAGAGCTGTTTCTATGTGAGGTAGAGCTGGTAAGGCAACTGGCTGAGCCTTAGCTTTTAGGCAGCATCTGCTTGCTTACTCCTGCCTTCTGAGTATGGTGACTCTTTAAAATAACAAAGCTACAGTCCTGTAAATCATAGCGAAAACCTTATTTGCCCTGATATAATCAGTTTCTTAAGGAATTAGTATTAGTCTGTTAGTTACACTGGGGTAGTTTCTCCTCATCGAGAGCATATCTGAAATTTGTGGATGTCGTGATTTAAGTCCTCTAAATTTTCAAGGGCGGGGGTTGTTTATATTAACAGTATTTTAATACCACTTTCTAAGACATAATAGGAAAATAAAATAGATACAGTGTTGTGGATACAGCTGCACGGCTGTTGTTTTAGAACAGATTTGTTCCTAACTGTTGTGTCTCGGGCAATGTCTTTTGGATTCTGTTCCTTTACTGTTACTTGCTTTGATTCAGTCTGTTTAGGTAACAAATAGTATTTGATTTTTAACTGCGTTTGCTTTGCAGTTTGGTCGCTGTTGAATTTCTACTGTATGCAAACAAGCAGGGATTTTAAGCAATTTAGCAAATCCATAAAATCAGTGCTTAGTGGCTGATGCAAATTCATACTTGTGGGTCAGCAAGACCTTTTGTGATGTAGTTTGCTACAGCGGGTGGTGGGAACATATATTAAAAAATTGAGAATGTTTTGTGGAGCAAATACGAATAATTTTATACTGTTTTGTTCTTTATGCTTTCTAAAGAGCAAAGCGTTTGGCATTTCTTTTGGTAGAGGCTGTGTGACAGTATATCTTGGTCAATTAGGCGATGCTAATAAAAAATTTATTATCCCTTTTGCAAAATTGTTTAGTCATACTTGGATGTAGCAGTGTAAATAAATCCCTCTTATGCTTCAGATACCAGTAGATTTTATTTTTTTTTCTTTTGGGTAGTGTCTTAGACATAAGCCAGTATTCTGCACCAATTCCTTATGCTTAACCTCTTAAATGTCTGTGCATATATTTAAAGAAAAAAGGATAAAACAAGAAAACAACCTAATGCAGAGCATTAGACTCTATAGCTCAAGTCAAATAGACTTGAAGTTGTTTCCAAATTTATTCATGCTGTATAATCTGATTTTGGTAACAGGAGATAGTGGCAAAGTAATTATAAGTATGCTGGAATGACTGTGAAAGATGAAGTCTCAAATAAGAAGTAAAATATTTTATTCGTACAAAGTAGTTTTATATTGTAATCGAATCCTATTTTTTCCATCTCTTAGATGATGAAGCATGCCTGGGACAATTATAGGCAATATGGATGGGGACATAATGAGCTCAAACCAATTGCCCGGAAAGGACATTCCACCAACATATTTGGTAGGCTATATTTTCTGGTTTTTCTTTTCTTTTTTTTTTTTAATATTTCTATCCATGCTATTCTCCTTGAAAGTCTGCCCAAGCTTCCTAGCAAATTCTGTTTTAATATAAATTTTCCTAAGTATGGATGACAGAAGTGTATTGATTATTTCAATGGTACTTCAATGAATTACTTTACTAAACTATCTTTTTGAGAGAGTAGTGTGTTGTTATTGTTGCAAAAGCTAAGCTGTGTCTATGTGCACTGTTACTTTGGGTACGTGTATATTTATAAAAATAAAATTTACAGTGATGATATATTTGGGATGGAATGAATATAAATTTGTTTTTAAAGGGAACAAGCTCATCTTGTCTACATCTTTGTATTTAATTCTGTGAAAATGTGATACAAGACAAAAAACACATGCAAGATGCTGAAATACTGCTAGTACCAAGATGAAATTTAAAGTAACTTTTTAAAAATATCTGGATTAAAGCAAAAGTGACACTGTTACTTCATGTGTGACTTGTGTGTCCTGAACCTGTAGACCAGAATGAAAGAAAGAAAAAACCAATTTAAAATACAGGAGTTTGAGGGTAGGGGCAAGTTTTGAAGAAATTCAAGGGATGGAGTGAAAATATTTGGGCAATGTAGTATGAATATGTGTTATAAATGGCATTTAGAATAGTACGAAACATGAGGAAGGTAAAGATCAAGAAATGGAATAGACTTCTGTTGCATACATGTGATCAGACTAGATGGCTCTTCTTCCTCAAAACGTCGATGGTCTGCAGCAGTACTGCTTTTTCGGTGTGAATGCACTGGGATAGAATAAGTAGAATAGTGATCTGAAGGCAGCAAGCATTTTATTGATACACCAACCAGGAAAGACTGAGCCCTGAAGGTTCTCTCGATTCATCCTGTGGTAGAGCAAAACACATAACCTTGACGTTAGTGATTAAGGTTAAGCCTGGATTGGTCCAGAATGCACAGCATCCAAGATGACTGAGCCACCAAGTTCATGCATTTGTTTTGAAACCCACACAGGATAGGGTTTTTAGAATTACGTTCAGGATTTCATGCTGTGTTCATCCACTCTCCAGTATCTGAGAAAGGTATAAATTTATCGTAACCACTTTTTACATAAAGAATGAGTGTATATATACTGTGTATACCTCAAGTATGCTAGTATTGGTTATAATAGTTTGTTTGAAATCAAGATTTTGTTGGGTTTTATTGTGAGGCAATTGGCCTAATGCCTCTGTGCGAGGCTGGTTCTCATTGTAATTGATATTTGTTTTATTTATCTGGCTGTAAACCTTGAATTTCTTTTTTGTGGATGACAGAAATGCAGATTAGGATAGTGTAATTGGTTTTCTGTGTTTAGTGCCTGAACTCAGAATAAATTATTTTGACTTAAATCAAAATTTGGTTAGCTTTTTGTTGTCATTTATAGGGAAAAAGTACACTCCATGAGGAAACTCATTCCAAAAAGAAGAGTCAAAGGACTTGTTTCAAAAGTATTGTAATGCTTAAAGGGATTTTTCTTTTTTTTTTCTCTGTCCCTTCCCTTGATCTCCTTAAATTTTATCTTGAAACCGTTCTTATATCTTACCAAATAAACAGGTTATTTTCTTTATATCCAAACTGGTTTTTATCAAATCTGTTTGCATTATGAACTTCAACCTTAAATAAAGTGCTGGACATGGAGGAAGGAAGAGAACTTTAGCTAGGTACGCTGCTCCTTTCCCCAGCTCCCAGCAAAGGAAGGAGGACCTCTGAGTTAAATTTTCCGCAATATTTAAAATAAATAAAAACAAACAAAAAAAACCCTGCACGCAAATAACCCCTCTCTCCCCAAACCTGTAGTGCATAGAAGCCTGTTTAAATCCATAGGGGAATAATTTCAAGCTTCTGTACAAGCCCTTTGTGCAATAAGGACCATTCACTGCAAGCAAACCTCTTGGAGCCTGACATTGATGGCTTTTGGCCACACACTGGAACCTGGTTCCTTGCCCTTCGGTGTGGTGTGAAGGCTGATTTACTATTTTATATTCGAGGATGGAGCCAGACTCTTTTCAGTGGTTCCCAGTGACAGGATGAGGGGCGAGGGGCAACGGGCACAAGCTGGAACATGGGAAGTTCCACTCAAAAATGAGAAAGAACTTCTTTCCAGTGAGGGTGTCGGAGCCCTGGAACAGGCTGCCCAGGGAGGTCGTGGAGTCCCCTTCTCTGGAGATCTTCAAGACCCACCTGGATGCAGTCCTGAGTGATGTGCTCTAGGTGATCCTGCTTTGGCAGGGGAGTTGGACCAGATCTCTAGAAGTCACTTCCAACTCCAACAATTCTGTGACAGTATTCCTTTGTAAAGAAAATGACTGTGTCAGGTGGAGTTGTCTAAGGAGAGGGGAAGGCGAACAAGTTAGCATCCTCAGGAGAAAAAAAAATTATCTGGACTGGTTGAGGAGTTTAAAGACAGAAATGCAAGAGTCCAAGACACAGCCAGAACTGAGCAGAGTGCAAGGAAGAGAGTGTGAAGCTGAAGACTGGAGCAACAGGCTTCTGCTCTGACCAACAGAAGGACATTTCTTAGGTTCCCAGAGAGTATTGTGTAGTATTCTTAGATAATTTCTCTTTGCTGTCTTGTACATTGACATTGCTTTAATTTTTACTAGAAAAATCTCTACTGAAGAATCTCTTCCTGTCATTTAGTTACATGTTATCTCTAATTCATGGCTTTCTTGTATTTTTTCTGACTGATGAAGTTGGGTGTGACAATGAAGATATTTGTGAAAATGTTCACCTGTATGATCATGTAGTCTTTGCTCTTGAATTTACATGCAATTTTGTTGCTTAATTTGCCAAGTATAATTTTAGACTAGCCTTGGTTTGTAACTCAGACTCTCTGTGAAGTGAGTGTTTGTTTTTAATGTGACCGACACAATATTTTGAAGCATTTTTGAATTTTAGTTATACTCTAGTCTTATATTTTCTTTTCATCCCTCCTTTGCTTGCTTCTAAGATGTCTCCTAATGAGTCTGGAGGATGACTCCATTTTTCTCCTTGGAATGCTTATTCTTTGGAATTTTGCATTGTTGTTTGAAAGAAATTGCAGGCTTTCTCCACATTCAAGTTTCTGATCCTCTTATTCCAGCCACCTCTAGCAGCTGATTCCCAAAGTGCTTCTCATTTTAAAATCCAGATGCTATTAGTGCCATTTAATTTTTAGCTATATCATGTTACGATTGCTGTTTGAAGCTATTTCATATGATGAACTTTTCTGAAATATTTAGTCTTCAGTATATACCAAGTCTAAAATAGAATCAGCTATTGTTGATTTGATGGGTGGTTGATGGGAAGGGGGAAAAAAAAATGCTCCTTGTACCAAGGGCTGTCTAGGCTGTAGTGTTATTGTTAGTACTTTAACAATCTCTTACCCATAATGAGACCATTCCCAGTGGTATTTGCCTTTATAGAAGCATTACGTAATTCTTTTTGAAATCTGATGCTATTTTTAATACAAAGCTGCTTCAGAAAAGCCTGGTTTTATTATTCATCTCAAAGATGATTTGACCCAAACTATTTTCTGCCATTACTGCAGTCTGTTGTACTTCCATTTCAATTCACAGCATGTCTGTGAGATTCAGCGAGGAGATGGTATCTGTCGCTGGTTGACACCGCAGCCCTTTGCTTGAATCTCTGGGAAATCAGGTTTACTGATAACACTCAAGTGAGGTGAACGTGATTCAATTTAGAAGGGAAATAAGGCATTAATCTTCCCTGTTGGACTCCCCTTCCCCTCTGAAGCAGTGTATTTCTGTATCTACGCCAAGAGGAACATTGGTGTTCCCAGCATTGCAAGATCTAGCAGGGTTCAAGCTGGGGTCAGAGAAGGGGAGAGGAGGTGGCCTGCTCTCCTCTCATAACTCTTAGTTTTAAGTCATTAAAAAAACTAAGGAAAAGTGATAAACTTTAAAGCAAGATGCTCTGTACCTCACTGAAGCATGCCAGCAAGAACATTTGTGGGCTGCCCCAGTTATTAGTTTGACTTTTAGAACCAAACCTGCTGGGGTTGCTTTAGTTCACCTGCAACTACAAGCCCTTACCAGTCTTTTTGAGATGTTTGACCTCACAAATGCAAATTCTAAAGCAGAGCCTGCAAAAGCGTTGCATGTCGAACTGTGTAGTCAGTCAGTAGTTAAAATCTTGACTAGTACCTCTTCAACAGCTGTGGCACAGCATGAGTAGTGTGGTGCTGTTTTGGCAAAGCATGACTGGGAATTGGTGGGCTTTTAAAGATATTTACATTTAGGCGACATATGAAACAAACCATTATAGGTTCTAAGTTGGTGAAAAAGGGTGATAACTTGCTCCTATTTTGTGAAAGTTGGCTGTTTTTGAAGGGTCTGGTAATCTCAAGATTTATTATTTATTCCTACCCTATAAGAGAAAGCATAAAAGTCAAGGAGAAAGTAAAGCAGAGAAGTGTAATTTCTCTTTCCAGTTCAAATTTTTATTTGCAGCTCTGCTGGTGGTTGCAGCAGCTAAGCTAAAGAAAGCTAACTACTTTTCGGGCTGCTTAAATTGCTGGAATAATTTGATGACAGCCACAGGGCATTATTGCAGAGGTGGGGTTGTATGGGATCTGGGTCAAGTTCTCATTAGAACACAAAGGGTGAAGAGGAAAGGCTGATGGAAAATGATGCATGTAAGATAATGAGCAAGCATGACAAACGCTGAGCCTTACCTCAGAAGGTTTTCTGGGCTTAGCTAAAACCTGAGTCGTTGATGGTATTGTCGGAGTCTCTTGCTGTAGTGAAATCTGCTTTGCTTTGCTTCTGAGCATCAGTCACCATCTGAAACATGCTCTTACAAGATAATTTGTCCTTGAATTTGTTTGGTGACCCCTAGGTGAACATCTTAGGGAAACACCATTAAAATCACTCAGTCCAGGTATGCTTCAGAGTTTTAAACTATGCGTATTTGTGGCATCTTTTACTTCAGTATCTTATGAACTAAT